TTACATACTTAGTAATAGATACAGGTTTTTTGCATATGTGATATGGCTGACGTCACAATAGCCGTATCAGCCCTGCAGGGCTGAAATGGATCAATATCACACCCCTAGTAAATTAAACTTCAAAAAACAGTACTTGTGATCATACATGTATATATTTTGGGGGTTACATAATTCTCCTAATTTTAACTTTTTAAATGTAATGATAATTTAACTGATAAATAATAGATTATTTTAAAATTACGGATTGAGGACATCTGAAATAGAAGTACATGCAGAAACAAACCGAAACTGTATGAAACAATAGATTGTGTGCATTTTAAGAAGTCCGTGCATGATTATTTACTTATTTTCTTCTCAACTTCATGTGTTCTGTCTTTCATTACTAAGTATGTAATAAATATAATAAAACCTGCCCCAGCCCTCGACCAATATCAGCACTCGGGCCCGAGGGCTGATATTGGTCAAGGACTGATACAGGATGTGATGTGGAAAAGGGTTTGTATTATTCTCTATCTATTGAACCCCTCTATTTTTCCCTTAGAAAACGAGGAATTCGTATAACCAATGTGCTTTTTCATCATAGAGTTTTGTCATTTTGCAAAGTTTTATGATAGGTTAATAGAAAAATAGACAAGGGATTGGCTACCCTGAGAAAGTCTGCTTATACTTGTTTATAGTTGTAAGCTACATATAGACGCATTGTACTTTATCGTCCAAGGACACTTTGGATGATGCGGGTCCATTTTCGTCCGACTACGGAGGAAGTTAGACCACAATGGGACATCAAATGCAATTACCCGAAATCGGGATCTGGCAGTTGACAAAATGAGACGTGATTTATTGGCATGTCTGTTCAGTTATATCATCGTCCAAACATATTTTGCAAATGTCCAAAAGACAACCATGGCGATCCACAAGGGAATGTGCTTTCCAAGATTTGGCTCAAGGTTGATGTTTTGATAGTCAGAGAGTCTCTATATGACATACACATGTGTATTTTCAGGATCATAACAAACTAAGGGGGAAAATAAGAATAATATTTTTCTTAAAAGTAAAAAAAGGTTATTCAAAACATATAGCGACAGGGAAAGACAGGGAGTCAATTAACTGAAGGCCTTTCCTTTTTTTGTTGAACACTTATAAGGCTGAAATACAATACAGGGTTGACGCTTCTGAAAGATTATTTGTAAATGTAGGCTATTTATACTTATGTCAAGGTGGTGTCAACATGTAATACACGAGTAGGCAAAGAAAGATTTCATGAATCTAAATTAATAATTATTTTAAATCAAAAAATCCAAAACAAAAAAAAAAGGCCTGCATAAGAGTTCATACTAATACACAAGGTACAATGTGACATCCGTAAACAGTATTTAGATTTCGTGTGTTTAGTTATTGTTCTTGATTTAAGGGGGCCGACTATAGTTTTATTGTGTGAAAACTACAATAGCGAAACTCTTTATTTTTATATCATATATAACTTACATTAAATGCAATGTACATGCAAAGTTTAGGGGAAATCTACCGTCCAGGTATTTTTGAGGGACCGTTTCAAAATACAGGTACATTTACTATAGGATTATATAGGAAAATGCCAATTTTTAGCACTTTAAAGCAAATTTTACAAATATTACAATAGACATTTTGTTCAAACTATAATATTTGATGAGTAATACTATATTATACAATATATGTAAGAAACACAAAATTCTACCGTCTTGTTACCAGAGGGGCCATCTCAAAATGTAAACAATTAGCAAATTTTACTATTTTTATAGAGTATTACAAAATATGACGTACAAAATGGATTCACATGAAAACATAATAAAAATATTGGAAATATTCTCAAATTTCTATTTTCTAAATTTCGAGAGCGTATGTTTATCACTTTTTCTTTAATAATATATTTATTACCCCCTTTCTTTAAGAGCTACAGAGTATCATAACGTCAAAAACACACTGCAACGACGTCAACCTACCTTTCAATTGCAAAATCGGTTTAAAAATCAGTTATATCAAATTGTAATTACATTTTTATACCTATAATTTCTCAATTTTGTTTGATTTTAATAATTTAGCGAAAAAAAGTTGCATTAAAACTGTAAATACGCTTCATTTTACTATGATGCGCGAAATATTGCGCAATGGAAACTATAGTCGCCCCCCTTAATTAAATCGCCCGTGTGGCGCAGAGGTTAGAGTCGCGAAGTAAAGAGCCAATCTGTGCGACGTGGAGAACGGTCCTTCGGATGAGACCGTATTAACCGAGGTCCTGTGTCGCAGTAGATGTTGGCACGAAAAAGATCCTTCCCTTCTCTATGGTCCTGAGTGCCGAGCATAGGACAAATTTTGGTGAATTTGGTGGCGTCTCCATATGAGTGAAAAAATCCTTGAGAGGGACGTTTAAGCAAAATACAATCAATCAATAATTTAATTCTAGTCTACTTTCGTTTCCGGTAAAATGTCCTGAAATAACAAAAGAAAGAGTTCGGTGGTGGTCACGTTTGGTGGATCTATTCTATTGACAAATTTTAATGAAACTTACAAGAAATTGTTAAAAAAAATATTTTGTATATTACAAGATAAAATAATAGGTTTCATGCGTGGTCAATTATAGTCTTTTTTTCCCCCGTTATTTATTTATTTTTTTTTTTTTTCGTTTTTCCCCCCTTTTTTTGTCTATCAACTGTATGCCTTATGAAATGATTATATTTTCGAGAATGTCTGAAAAACGTTTTATATCTACTAAAAATTAATAATGTGATAGCAAAAAGACTGTTGTTTTAGGAATACTGAGAGGAAACTTATATAAATGACTTTTAATAATCAATACATTTACTTTGATTGCGTATAAAATAAAAAAAAAGAGATGGTAGTTTGAATCTTTTTCCATTTACACACATGTATTTATGTGTTTATCTAGGTCGCTCCTTACTCTTGCCTTAAAATTTGGGAACTTCCATTGACATATCGGTCGCTCCAAACCAAGGCTAAAAAGTACGATCCTCTGAGAGCATAGGATTTGTAACACAGTCCCTCTACAAAAATATACCTTTTTAACAGACAGAATTTCACTTTTTCCAATAAATGACCTATTGACAGTTCATCAACCTTTCTAAAAAGGTATAATGTATACATTGATCTTGATCTCTGTATAGTATACTGACTGATCATAAGTTCGGGGTACTTTATCCGGATAGACAAGGAACTAACATTAGATTTAGATAGATAACTAAAATTGCGTCAAAGGTCCACGTCAAGCTTGAGTAAAAATTAACAATCGGAACATCGCTCAACCTTTTTTCTTGACTTGACGGAAAAGGCGGAGTGATGTTCCGACTGTAAAAATTAAATGATAGGCATTTTAGATTATTTTCATTTTTCAATGAGTAGACAATTAACCCCCCCCCCCTTCCTCGCAAACGCAAAGATTACCACTTTTAATACGTTTTGTAGTTTGATTGATATGGGTTTTCATGTATAATTATTGTTTTTTATTTTCATTTGTATCACAAGAAACAATGTTCATCAAAGTACTTTGTAGAAATGTATCCCATTTATGCAACATATTGCCACAGGGGTGATCACTCTGTGTTGCCTGGAAGTTAAAAATTAAATTTCATGTGAAAACCATTTTAAATCCTACTTGTGATTTTAGAAGTGAAAAAAATATATTTTATTTTGTGAAACTTCAAATTGTATGTACTAAGAAAAAAATATTTCTATAATCTGAAAAACGCGATTATATTCATCTAGAAACTAAGGCAAAAATGAAACAATATTTATATCAAATTTATATTTTCAGCAGAAAATAGTAAAAATTTCTACGGTTTTGGTCTGGGTAAACATTTTAACGGGACCCCACGCCAACTAATGGTAACAATAATATCTAATTTTCCACCGGAAAAGGATATTCCATTTGGTTGGAGAAAACCTTTATCAATGAATTTTCTTCTGCATCATTCGTTTATATTTCTTAAATAAAAGTACAACGTATGAATACCCGCCCACCGGTACATGCTAGGATTACCAACTTGAATCTTTTTTATTGTTTGTCTGTGAAGTAGAAATGTAGAATCATTAATACTCTCAATTAACAATTCCAAAAATCTCTTCTGGCGATCTCTGTTTATTTCTATGGGTATCAGGAACCCGGAAGAATTGGCTTATAATTTACGTGCGGTAATACAACAATACGACTGTGTCAATACCCGATCCAATGCGAGAAAAGACAACTCACCACCTCCTAAAATCAATATGAGTAGATTTTTTAAAAAAAATGTATGGTAATTTGGAGACAATACAGTTCTGCATGCAGTATTTCAATATTTCTGTTGAGAGTCTAGCTAGGGTACATTTAGCTAGTGAGTCTAGGGTGCATTTATGAGTCTAAGCTCTACGTACAGTGTACCTGGAATGCGTCCAAGGTATTCCGCTAGTATTTTCTAAGAGGAAAGGGGGTTCATGTACTTCATTTTCAACGAAAAAGGAGTGTTCTACTTATATCAGACATTTTATTCAAAGACTTTTTTAAGTATTATGAAATCGATCCCACGATATTTTAGGCCCATTGATTCAGGACTGGAATAATATGTAAAAATTGTACGTAACTGTGACCCCCCCCTTTTTTTTTTAAAGAGAGTCCAACTTACATAGAAAGAGCTGTGGAAATGGATTGTTTTGTTTTTTTATATGCTTCTGGTTCTAATAAACTAATGAATGCCTTTTCATACGATCATTCAACTAGAGACCTATATACTAGTATATGTGGGTATCTGATTCAACGCACTGAGTTTTTAATTGCTTTTTAAATTTTATCAGTTTATTTCCTTTTATATTTTCTTTTGAATTCTATACCCTCTCCCTTTTCGTCTCTCTCTTTATCTTTCTCACTCTCTCTCACATTAGCGAAACACGTGCACTCTGTTTATAAACAAATTTGACCTTCACCTTCACTCTTCCAATCATGTTGCGTGAGTTTGTAGGTGTGTCACTTCCGGGCAGACAATCCAGCTGATTCCGGTTATGTTGTGCATGGTAATGAGATTTTTATTTTATTATAAGTTTATAAGTTTTTTGCGAATCGTGAATGCATACTAATTTACAGGAACAGGAAACCTTTGGACGTCCCCATACTTCCTTGTGAAAGGGTGTGCTAAGCGAGAAACTCAGGAATAAGATAGGTAGATCGTCCTAACGTGACCTATAGGTCGTTGACTCGGGGAGCTCTTGTCTGGTCTGGTTGGAGGACACTACGCCGGTGTTTTGATTTTAAAGAGCTTATAGTAAGTATGACACCGTCCAAAAGAGGGAAGTTTTTAAAAGTTTCTAGTTTGTTTATTGAATTTGTTTCTACACGTTCTTTATACTGTTAGAGAGAAATCCTAAAAGGAGGGGGTTACATGTACCCCCCTTTTCAATGTTTAACCCATAGTAACAGGCTGATGCGTATATGATGAACATGGATGCTATTTTAAATTATTTTTTTTATGATGCGTTTTTAACAAACGGTGATTGATCTTTTGAAAAAATTCACCAACAGTTTATACAAATCTGTGAACAATTAGGCATATCACACCAGAAATTTCAGAGTTAGGATCAGCTGCCCTGGAGAAGTAAGTATCTCTTGTCAATCCATGGTACCCAAAGGGATTGAGTTCTAGGTGTTCCCAGATCAGGCAATGTCTTGGTAGATGAAATATGACATAAGTGTTCTGTAGTCAAAACTAGTATAAAATCAAAGACTTGACAATTGGTACATAATAACTTTGAAAAATATCTGCCAAAATACAACCCAGTGATCACTGATCAGTTAGGTAATATTTGTTAGCAAGGTCATTATAGTGGTCATAGTACTGATGATATGCTGAGTGCTGACTTTCAACAAGGTTGTTTTGTTGTACGTGTTTGTATCAATCATCATCAGCTTGTGTGTCATTATTCTGCATATTCTGCCTGGGTTTAAATATGACCCTACTCTGAAAATGCTCTGATTGTTACTGACTATTCACAGAAATATCACAGGTTGATCAAGTCCATGAAGGGGAGGTGAACTGTGCCTTCTACTGGACTTTTACAGCCTATGTTTCTCAATGTTGTCGAGAATATAAATAAGTATAACAATCATACATGTAGTCTGTATTTTGTCCTGTTGATTATGTCACTGAAAAGGGGTGCTACCAGATGGATGCTACTCTAAATTTAATCTCAGCATTGCCAACTTGGTAAGGTGTAGTAAATATATCAGTTTCTTTTAAAAGCAAAAAGTAACCATCAAACGTGGTAGCTCTGTACTTGCTCTTTGATGGGAAGGTCAAGGGTTAAACTCAATCCTAGCATTGACAGAAATGAGAAAAGTAAGTACTCCAAGCAGTTGGTACTTTCAAGTGATGAGACCATAAAAATCAAGGCCATGGTTGGGTGGTTAAGGTTTACCCCCCCCCCCCCCCCAAAAAAAAAAAAAAAAAACCTCTCTGCTTGGTGGGACCGCAATGCCAAGTAAAGGCCTTCATGGGTATATGGTAAGTTCATAATTTGGATGAAAAAAAATTTCAGATAGGACAACAACATGCCATTGTTCATATATTAACATATTATAAAGGGTGTGTATCTTTTTTAGGCCTAATATTTCAATGAGTGCCGACCAGCCCATTCTACCAATTGTTATACATGAAGAACATCACAAGCATGACAAGGAAGATGAAAGTTTGGAGGAGAGCAAAAGATCCCACACTGTTGATGCTGCCATAGACTTTATAGGGGGAACTAATGGTAATTTGGTATATACATAAGTAAGATAGAGCTATGGTTAATCATGTTCATCAGGAACATGATGAAAATTTAAAGGTATTGGGAAGGACAAGATGGAGAGTGTGATCAGGTATTTATGTCAGCTGTTGAATCCAATTTATTGATTTAAGTAAAATACACATATATTTTAAACTAAGTGAGGGTTGGGATACACAGAGTTCACAGAATGGCTACAAAATTGGTCAAATTTCCAAATTTTCTCATATATTTTTAAATTTTCATGAAGTACAAAGCACATTTTGTTTCAGACACATAGAACACAAGCTTGCCTTTCTACCAATTGTAATATTATATTTCAAGCATGACTTGTGAGTATGAGATACATGTACATCTAGTACATGTAGTGTACCAGTAATGAAAATCTCAGATAGATAAGCTTGTGCTTTATTGTTTCAGAGGTGAGAAGTTTTTCAGATTTGCTGAAATATCAGAATGGAGCAATTTTCCACTTTGCCATCCTTCTGTGGCATCTCTGTAACTTTCAATCAAAATCAATGATGGTTATAAAACAAACAGTATATAAAGTTTTGAACACAAATTTAAGTTCTGTTTTAATTTTTATACCAAATAAGGGGCTAAATTCTAACATCACTGTACCTTGTTCTGTAGTAATACATTCATTTCCTCTATAGGAATAAATAAAAATCAAATTGCTAAATAATTGATAGTGGGAATTAATATAATGTTATTCACAGTTATACATGTACCAGGTAATGTCTTAATATCATACAGGGAAGCTACTTGTTGATCTCGGCTGCTGATTGTGTTGATCCATCCGCCAACATGTACATCCTAGTGTCAGAAATCTTTGATTTTTTGTTTATAATTTATAACTGATGGAAAGACAACAAAATAGATCTGAATTTACAAACTAAATTCTAAAACACAAAATGGAGGAAAAATTCTTTCTCTCAGTAGGTTTAACATGTTTAATACTAGTGGACTGGTAGACATAGTTCTGGAATAGATACTAACTTAAAAAGGGATGGGTTTAATTTTTGAGACTATAAACAGAAATTAAAAAATACCAGCCTTTGTTAAAGAGATCATGAATCTGCAATCAAACTGATAACCCCCAAACTAAAAACTAAAACCCCCAACCTTTCGGATGATCTGCCTAGTTTTACATGTATAGATACCCGATAAAGTCTCGTTTGCATTTTTATCAATGCAAATATTGCATTTATCCTTTCCCAGCTTTCCCCGTGATGTCAATGGTCATTATTATTTATCTGTCTGAAGATCTTCTGTGTTGAATGGAATTTTTTTATGACTTGATGATTAAAATTATCTCTTGATTAACATAATTATGGGAAACAACTATGCCTTAGAACGGGTTATGAAATCTATTGATGGCCTAATTAAGGCCAGAAAAAAATTGATTCACGTTTGTAGACAAGATTGTAATTTTTTGACTCACGAAGGATGATAAGTTAGATTTCATTTTATCTTTATCTCTATTCGGTTTTGATTTTTATACTAGTAGAATTTAAGCAGTTTTTCTCAAATGGTTTCTAAATAAAGTAATTTTGGGCCAAAGATTTGAGAATACTAGGTGTATGTGCGAAGATAATTTGATAGAAATTAAACAAGTTAATTTACCAAGTTTTCACAAGAATGATTCAATAATTTCTATGAAAAAAATAGGTTTCAAACTCAATATAATGAAAATTTTTATAGGGACGATTGCCTCTGTACATGTATAAGTAGGTCATATGAAGTAGTTTTTATCTTTATAAAGGCCATTGCTTTGGTATAAATTATGTAGGTCATATTAACTAGTCTGTATTTATCTGTATAGGGGCCATTGTCTTGTTAAATAATATGGTCAAATAAACTAGCTACTACCTCAGTATATACGGGTCATATGAACTAGTTTGTTTATTTATAGGGGTTATTGCCTTGGTATATGTGGGTCATATGAACTAGTTTGCATATTTATCATTATAGAGGCCATTGCCTCAGTATATGTGGGTCATATGAACTAGTTTGTTTATTTATAGGGGCTATTGGCTAGGTATATGTGGGTCATATGAACTAGTTTGTTTATTTATAGGGGTTATTGCCTCAGTATATGTGGGTCATATGAACTAGTTTGCATATTTATCATTATAGGGGCCATTGCCTCGATATATGTGGGTCATATGAACTAGTTTGTTTATTTATCGTTATAGGGGCCATTGCCTCGGTATATGTGGGTCATATGAACTAGTTTGTTTATTTTTCGTTATAGAGGCCATTGTCTGGGTATATGTGGGTCATATGAACTAGTTTGTTTATTTATCATTATAGGGGCTATTGCCTCAGTATATGTGGGTCATATGAACTAGTTTGTTTATTTATCATTATAGGGGCCATTGCCTCAGTATATGTGGGTCATATGAACTAGTTAGTTTATTTATAGGGACTATTGCCTCGGTATATGTCAGTCATATGAACTAGTAAGTTTATTTATAGGGGCCATTGCCTCGGTATATGTGGGTCATATGAACTAGTTTGTTTATTTATCGTTATAGGGGCCATTGCCTCGGTATATGTGGGCCAGTCCCTGGACACAGTAAAGGTCAAGATGCAGACCTTCCCTCACCTTTACCGGAACGCCATCGACTGCTTCCTCCAGACATATCGTCAGGACGGAATTTACCGCGGACTTTACGCGGGAACGGTCCCGGCACTTGTAGCTAACATTGCTGAGAACTCCGTCCTGTTTCTGTTCTATGGACTCTGTCAGAAGATAATCATGGCTCTCCAGGGCCGCAATGATGTGTCTGAGCTACATCCGGTCGAGAACGCATTCTCAGGGAGCGGGGCAGCGTTTTTCTGTGCGTTTACGCTCACACCGACTGAACTCGTTAAATGTAGGCTACAGGCTATGAGAGAGATGGCATCTCAGGGAAAACTGGAAGGAGGGTTAGAGAGACTGAAAATGTGAGTGGTTTAGAGATTCCACCTTAATTTAGCTTTCCACAGGGCCAACTAATAATCAGGCATGTTTATCTGATATTTAGATATTAGAGAAATACAGGATTTCAGAAATAAATGACATTTAAAATCTATTATGTTATGTTATAAATATCAGACAACATTATTAAGGATTTTAGAGTTTATTAGCTTGCATCTATTTTGTTTGTTATCTCCATTTTTAGCTAAAAGGCCATTTTATATTCTTGCCTTGATGAAGTTGTTTCAAAAATGAAAGAAAAAAGCAGTCATATATACATGAAAAAGCTTACATTTTTTTTCTATTGATAAGGCCATCCATTACGTGACATGCAGTTGGCATAACTGGAACTTCCTTATAAAAAGAATATTTGAATATCATGTGCGAAACTTTTCTTTAACATGATTAATGTGAAAAATGACTCCAGGAATGCAAAAGAACATTAATTCAAAAGATTTTGCTGGGGATTGGGATGGGGATTAAACTGGCATTAGAAATTCGACATGATGTCCAAAGACTTTAAATCATACACAGTGTATATGCATACATTAAAGCAGAATTAATAGTAATTTAAGTTACACTGTCATTTTATTGAAGAATTTGAAATGTTGATTATCGTCAAGAAAGTATATGTGGTGGATATCAATAATAGAAAGAATTGTTATAGAGATTATGAGTGAACGGACGGACAGACATCTAGACAGACAGCTATACAGACAATACAAAACAACAGAGAAAAAATTTCCCTTAGAGACTCTAGAAATGCTGAAATTGAAAAAATCTGAGAAACACTAATGAAAATGATATTTGGAAAATATAAAAAGTGATAATGGCAAAATGTTAGATGTGTTAAAATATTCATTTTCAAAAGTTTTTGTGTGTTGATTAGTTAAACAGAATGTTGCCTTTTGTGTTTGCTCGTGTTTTATGCTGGGTTGTCAGAGTTGTAATATTTTTTTGCTGGTGGCATTTTTGGGTGGGACAGTGCAGTGTAAACATAGGTGTGGGTGGGTACTGCATGGTATTTAGCAAGACCTTTATAATGACTTTATCAAAGGTTGATTTAATGAATATTTAATGAATACTTAACCTTGTAAAAAAACGTCCAAATTCAAACTTGTTATTTACAAAGCCTTTTTGTTAGTGGTGTGATGTCAATATTTAATAAAAAATTAATGTAGACCAAGTGGTGTTAATATCGATGTCTGTCAACCTCCCACACTCGAAAAAAAAAATCCTTTAATCCTCAGGAGATGATAACAACTGCAGAATTATTATGAATCAGAAAAACTCCGCATCAGATAAGCATGATAGGTTCTCTCTGTCAATGGAAGCCTCGCGTGACATATCTACCCAGGGGAGATAAATGAGTTAGGTAGGACAGGGACCCAAAGAATATTGTTCTTTATCATATAACAAATGTAATGTTAGCAGAAAAAATTGGCTTCTCAATGTATTAATGAAAATAGGATTAATAATTTAAAATAACTGAATATCCATTCCGTTTCCTTTTCGCAGTGCTCTCATAAACTATAGATGACAAAGTTCTAAAAGGGTTTGTTGATATTAATTGAACAATAGAAATAAAAATTTAAAACAGCCTGCAGTGTTTCATCTGCACTGCTGTGAATCTTCATCTGTCAAATGACAAGGCCAATGGAGGTTTTATGTTTTATTAATTTCTAATTGGTTTGAGTGATAGCATATATCTTGCCTATTGCACTTGTTTATAGTCGGACAAAAACTCATCACTGTGGTATGTTTTCAATAGTTTAACAATCAAATTATGCTTAAAGTCAAGTTACAGAGACAATAATTGAGAAATATATGGGATTTTAAGTTGTTTTTGATAGCTCTCTGGTTTGATTGTTTGAAAATACAAACAGGCTTTATAATGAAATTTAACATATGTAAGTCATTATTTTAATTGTAGATTTCGTCCTTGTAAAGTACGTATTGTATTACAATCAATTTTAAAGTTAAAGAAATAAACCAATTTCGTTCTTCTACATAAAATTAATTTTATTTGAATTTTGCATCTCCTCCCTCTTTTGAAGGACAGTTAAGGAAGCTGTAATATCGAGCTAAATGGTTTGTGAAACTTTAAATATAAAAGAAATTGAATTACATGCTTAGGAACTTTTAGAAAAAATAAAAATTATTGAAAGTTCTTAATGATATCAGTGAAGTTGACCACCTTGTTTGATTTGCAAAACTATTTGTTGTAATTCCTAATTACATAGACTTTACTATATTGTCTAAATTCACAAATGTGATTTATTGTTACATAATAATGAATGATATCAAGCATCTGATTTTTTTTTTCTAACTAGTATTTTAGAAAACTTTACCAGGTAAATGAAATTTTATGGGTAAATGAAGCAAATTCAGAATGTCTTGATTAAAGGATTTTTCTCCCTTTCCTTATTTTAGAGGCCCGTGGGGGATCACCAAGGAAATCCTGCAAGTGGAGGGGATACGGGGGATATTTAAGGGTCTGACTGCCACCATGGCCCGAGAAATGCCTGGGTATTTCTTCTTCTTTGGTGGATACGAGATAACAAGACAACTGTTGACACCGCAGGGGAAAACCAAAGATGAGATAGGTAAGACATAGAAGACACTCTTCAGTCTTCAACTGAGGCATCAAGCTTCAAAAGTTTCCCAGGACTCATCCTTGTGAAAAGGATTAACCCATATAAAAATTAATCTTGCTTATTTCTCAACTTGGTGTTGAAAAAATGCAACTCTGAAGTACACTGCAGTGTATTAATCTATTTAACAATCCCATTTTGTTTGTTCTAGAAACATTAGATAAATGTACTAAATGTGCTTTTTTCCAATGACCTTTCATGACTATTGTAATGTTAGCTGTACTTTTTCCCTAGGACCAGCCAGGACTATAGTAGCGGGTGGTGTAGGAGGGATGTGTCTATGGTCGGCCATTTTCCCGACTGATGTCGTCAAGTCCAGGATACAAGTAGAGAGCACCGTGGGTAAAAAGGCTCCGGGATTCCTGGTCACCTTCAATAAAATCCTTAAAACAGAAGGTCAGGGCTGATAGTGTTTCTCTGATAAATCTGATAGTATACCTAGAGTATCTATTATAGATCAGAAAGAACATTCCTTTGTAATAAGACATGGTTTCTTAAAAGAAAACAAAAAAAGGTTTCAAAATTTGATAACAATAATTCATGGCACAGTTAAGGTTTCAAAAAGGAGGCAGGGACTTGCTAATATGAGAATCCCCCTAAAACAGAATGTTTCCATAGTATCCTTGTCACAAGGGCTTATAACCGTTATACTTTTTTTCTGTTCTTACCCTTAACTTCTTCATTTATGCTTTAACTGCCATCATTCCAGCTAGTTGCTGAATCCCTTACTTCTCGAAAGCTCTACCTTATAAACACTTGACTTGTCCGTGCCAAAAAGTTTCACATTATTTCACTTTTTGAGGTCTCCGTAACATTTTAAACCCCTGTCCCTTAACCATTAAAATGTATGAAGACCCTAGCACCAACGGTTCAAAAAATGGTCATGGTAAAAATTTTACAAAAGTATATCAAACACTTGAGTGTATGCTCAAAAGATCCAAATTAATGATATCCCCCTAAAAATCTAGTCAAATAAAATTCATGTGTAAAAGATCAACAAACACTGTTTGAAAAAAAACCTTATTTATAAACAATACATATTTTATCCAGAAGAAACTTTAAACATACTGTACTAAGCTTTTCTTCACCTTATGCAAATAATTCCTCATATATGTTTCATATTTAGATATTTTACTTGAAAAAATGTTAATGGTAATCTAACAACCAAGCTCTATGAAAAGCATGATGACTTTAATTTTTCAATTGTCAGCTTCCCTTACTTATTCAGCAATATACCTTCATCACCTGAGTAAGGAGTTTATATCTCTCAGTTGATTCTATTTGCAAGAGCATTCTCTACATATCTACAATTTCAAAAATGAGGTAAATTATTGACAAGTTGATGAAACAAGAATATCAGCTGTCTCGTTTAAAGTCACCATTTAGTATTTTTTATAGTCGAAACAATGACCTTGTCAGGAGAAACAATTTACCAGAGAAATGCTGACTGAAATTTTTCATACTAATTGTAAGTCCATTATTTACACACTGAATTGACGATGAATTCTGTTATTTCCCGATCACGACAAGGAGCACACAGTGGATGTGACTGGTCGGCAGGGGATGCTCACTTCTCCATGTCACCTGATCCCACCTCTGATGTATTGGAGGTCCGTGATTGCTCTGCACCTTTTTAAATTGTTTTATGGAATTAAGAGCTTGAATTCTGTTGTTATCACCATATATTTCACAATAATTAAAATCTAGAGTTTCTATTATCACAAACATCCTTTTCCTAAATAAAAAAGTAATTCAGAAATTTTTAGATCTACTGATCAGTTAAATGCAAAATTCTACTCTGATTGTACACACAAGTACCCTGAAGATGATATAAAAGGATGCTGGAGTTTCTCATTGACAACATTTATATTGTCATAGGAGAACAAGTTTTCAAACTGTTGGAATTCCTATGAGCACTAATTGTGCTCATCTGTAAGCTGAACTCTTTTAATTTTCTTATGAGGCAATTTTTTTTTCAATTACTTCTACATAAGAAGAGGGAAACAGTTGCTGTGATCTCCAGTTCAACATTTAGATATATTGACAATGTTTTATTAATTAACAATGGTTATTTTCATCGTATGTTGACTCAATATATCCCAGTAAACTTGCAAATAAAAAAAAAACTATAAAGTCTGTTATATCGGATTCATATTTGGAAGTTTTCCATCCTAAAGTTTTCTCATTTATGTAGTTATTTCCAACAATCACCTGCTTTAGTGTACGATCAATTTTTAAAGTAAGGCCTCGTTTAAAGTGAGAATTTTGTAAAGTTTATGGCCTTTGTAATGACCTTATCAAAACATATCCTATCACTGAGTCGTATTTCGGCTGATATATTTCATATCAATTGTTTGGCCTTTGTTTTTATACTGAATAGACTATGGAAAGTTCCGTATCTATATATAGGGATCATGGGAGGTATGACTCGTCAAAAAAGGGGCTGCTTAGTCCTCATTGGCACCTGATCCCACCTCTGGAATTTCAGGGGTCTGTGTTTTTATGCCCTCTTCAATATTTGTTTTGTTTAAAGATTTTTTTAAGATCCATCACTGTTCGTTATTTTCACCTTTATCATAAAAAAGATTTCAATTGACCGTCAGCTCATGATCATGTATCTGTAAACAATGTTATAAAATGCTACAACTTTGACCTGTTTAGTCAGCTTTGATGGAAATTTGGTGTCCAGTTGGATTTCATTAATATTTATATTTCTTTATATATTTTGTGTGAATATTAATCTTTCAAAATGATACTGTTACAAATTTAATTTTAAATTTAAATAAATTAAGTTTTGAAATTTAAAAAAGTAGAACTACAAATCAATATTATAGGATTAAATGTTCTTTTTGAAAAAATTATCGATGTGTAAACTCTTGACATTTTACTCACAAACTAAATAAAAAAGCGAAGTACTTTCATGTTAAGTTTGTGAGTAAAATGTCAAGAGTTTACATATCGATAAATTTTTCAAAAAGAACATTTAATTATTATAATTCCAATAACGAATATTTAAAATTATTTAAATTATTTCTCTTTGAGGCCTATATACAATCCGTTTTTTCTGTACGGCGTAGGAATACTTTATACCGTTAAGAAACGTAATCGAGATGAATTTCGATAGAGTTCAACTTAAATTGTCAAAACAATCAATAAATAAACTTACAAAAACTTATTGAATGTTGTCAACAAATATCGTAATTACGAGTTTACTTCAGAATAGTTCGTCCTTGACCATGGCCATGTTGATATTAACGACAACGCTCAGAGCGAAAGTTGCAGACCGATCATGCCTACGACGCCTTCGATTTGCACTTGTTTGTTCAAAGGTCGATGAAGAATATAAAAAGTAAAAATATGAATTTGATGCTAATAAGACAAGAGTTTGAGGTTCGTTTCTTTTCCCTGTCACAACGACACAAACGGAGCTAATTTGCTTCGTATTATGAACGTCGAGAATATGACATCAGCGATTTTTTAAAATTCACACCCGTGATCCGACAGTGGCATAAATATTTTCATGGCGTCTGTCATCTGGTCAGTCCTGTTTGTCGCCAGTTTTGTTTTATTTTATTTAAATTTGAAGTTTCTTGTATTCGTAGCTAAAAGAGACCAGAAATAGCTTGCTTTCATTGTATATACGATGACCTAGAAGCTTGGTTAAGAAAGTAGTTCTGATTTCTTGAAAAATTTACCGAAAAATTTACCGAAACTTTTTCTTAAACATGTTCTCGTCCAATCAAACACAGGGAATCAATAGATAAAATTAAGATTGGAATTATTAAAATCTCAACAGTTTTTTAGTCAACGATGATCATTAAAAAAAGCTTAATTGAACTGTAAATATGTGAATTTTCTTACATTCATTTTCAAGGACACTGATGCTAGTATATGATTATTTATAGATTCAAATAGATAAAAAAAAATGTTTTACGGGAATTTGAAATGTGTGAAAGTAAGCATAACTGAATTTTTTTAAATAAAATACCCTAACAATGAAAATTGATAAAGATGACTTAAAGTGATTGTTTTTGTGAAAACTTGAAACAATACAAATCTGTTAAGAGCCCCCCCCCCCCCTGGAAATTCTAGACGTGAAATCACGTGCCACGTGTCTAGTCCCGAGGAAACAAACGAACAAAAAGAACATTATAATTTGATTATCTGTTAGTGACATGTAAAGCTGTATAAGTGTTCTACAACGGCTCCATCATTTTCTATGCACCAGATAACTTTTGTTAAACATCTCTATCTCATGATAATGGCCTTGTTGTAAATAGCAGAGGAGTATAAGTTGTATTCAACACCATCCAAAAGTTTTGGAAATGATGAATCATCATATCCGAAATAATACAATGTGCCGACAGAATTAACGTGTCTCTATCAATATTTTAAACGTTTTCTGGCTATGGAACTGAAAGATCCGTATCTATGCATATATCTAAATCCACATCAAGTACATGAATTACAACTAAAATAAAACAAAAGATAATATATAGAATACTTTAAACAAATTATTTCAAAGTTACTTAGTGTAATGACTATTACTATGTACCCAAAGTCTGACTTATCCTGAAAAGCCTTGAAGCCACTATATCTTGAAAACGTGCAGGTCATTGATTTTAATAGTTTGTATTTTTTTTTAGGTCCCAAAGCATTGTATAAGGGTCTTGGTCCAACATTGGTGCGTACCTTCCCAGCAACCGGATCACTGTTTTTAGCATACGAAACAACCAAAAAATTAATTGAACTGTAAATTGTGAATTTTCTTACGATTTTCAAGGACACTGATGCTAGTATATGATTATTTATACAATGTAAAAAAAAATTCTGATGACGGATTGCATAATTGATATTTAGGTCAAGAGGTCGTGAAATCTCCGGGCGCTTGTTTTGAGGACAATCAAAATCTATCATGTAATTTGGGATGGAATGATTTTATTTTAGCAGTCAACATAATAAAATCCGGGAAAATTTCAGAGATTGCTTCACCGTTTGTTTAAGACAAACAAACTGTGTGCAGATCATCCAAAATGGAAATGATAGAAATTGACGTGACAGATGCATAATTCTGTGTATCGGAGTTTTTTGACTTTTACATTCTGTGGTGTAGAAAATTGATTAAATGGAACTTTTCTCCACATTATTCCAAAAGAATCTGCTTTATTGCTGTATACTGTGTGAAGATTACATGTACATGTATCCTACAGTTTTGGTCTGATTTCAATATAACTTGGCACACAAGTAGCTTATGCGATACATAATGTATATCGATTTTTGATTTCGATGAACTGTGTTCTGTCTGTAAACAATTTTTGAAAAACACTACTATTCCTACAATTTTAGTCTGATTTCAATATAACTTGGCACACAAGTAGACTACGCTAAGATACATAATTCTGTGTATCAGTTTTTAATTTCGTTGAACGGTGTTGCCATGGTTACAAAAAATAGAATTTTCTGTGAAATTCTTTCAAAATGCTACTATTCTACAGTTTTGGTCTGATTTCAATATAACTTGGCACACAAGTAGACTACACTAAGATACATAGAATAGTGCATCGGTTTTTGATTTCGATGAACGGTGTTGCCATGGTTACTAAAAATAGAATTATCTGTGAAATTGTTTCAAAATGCTACTCCTCCTACAGTTTTGGTCTGATTTCAATATAACTTGGCACACAAGTAGACTACACTAAGATAAAGAGACATAGATCATTAATTTAGTGCATCCCAGCTGCTTAAGGTTTTTGATTTCTATAAGTTCAAACGGTGTTGCCATGGTTTAAAATAAAATACTAAAGTACCCTAACAATGAAAATTGATAAAGATGACTTAAAGTGATTGTTCTTGTGAAAACTTTCCTTTAATAGTGAAATCACGTGGCCTTCTACGAACATTATAATTTGATTATCTGTTAGTGACATGTAAAGCTGTGATTTCAATATATTTTCTTGGCACACAACTTTTGTTAAACACTACATGATAATGGTCTTGTAAATAGCAGAGAATATAAGATGTATTCAACACCATCCAAAAGTTTTGGAAATGATGAATCATCATATCCGAAATAAAACAATGTACCATAACGGTCTCTAAATATTTTAAACGTTTTCTCTGGTGAAAGATCCTTCTATGCATATATCTAAATCCACATCAAGTACATGAATTACAACTAAAATAAAACTACATTCTTGTCGTGATTCGGAAATTGTTTCAAAGTTACTTAGTGTAATGACTATTACTATGTACCCAAAGTCTGACTTATCCTGAAAAGCCTTAAAGCCATTTTATCTTAAAAACGTGCAGGTCATTGATTTCAGTTTTATTTTTTCAGGTCCCAAAGCATTGTATAAGGGCCTCGGTCCAACATTGGTGCGTACCTTCCCAGCAACTGGATCACTGTTTTTAGCCTACGAAACAACCAAAAAATTCTTAACTGACTTGGCCGACAGGAGACAGTAGTACAACGTAGGAACATTCTGATGATTGATTATATTAATAGGTCAAGAGGAAGGAAAAGCTTGTTTTGTCAAAATTATCATGTAACATGTGATTTTCTTTATTAATTTGCTACATCAGTCAACATAATAAAATCCGGGAAAAATTTCAGAGATTGGTTTCACCGTTTGTTTAAGACAAACAAACTGTGTGCAGATCATCCAAAATGGAAATGAGAGAAAATTCAAGATTTTACACTGTGGTGTAGAAAATTGTATTTTTAAATATTATCTGCTTTATTGTTGTATTATGTGTGAAGATTTCATGTACATGTAGTAATTATTTTTTTTTTAAATAATTAGGTTGAAGCAAAGCTTATCTGTGTTAATGTTTCATTTGACTGTACTACGTTATTAATTTGCCGATTGTCGCCAGAATCTCTGAATTTTTAAAAATATATTCAATGGAAAAAATTAAACTATTTTCAAACTATTTCTTTAACATTGTATTTAGCAAGTAACATACGTGTTGGAACTGGTAGATGCAAAAATGGTAAAACCAACACAGTATGCTCTGCCAAAAATAGATAGTGCTAAAAGGAGTTATTAACATTTACATATTTATGTACTTAGTTGAAATGATCTGATATATTTTTTTATTTGAAAAATAAATCTTTTTGGTGAAATTTGTGTTTAAGTGGTTTAGTTTGTATACATTGCCGAAATTCCTTGTTAGTTACAATAATAAGGAAAGTGGAAGCTAAAGTTTAGAGTAATTGCTGCATGGAAATTCAAATACAAGCTCGTAGATGATAAATAAGTATGACATTGGGATTCATCTCACAACCAAGTTCTATGATGAAAGTTATGACTAACTTTTCTATCGCTAACTTCTGCAGCAATATGCCTTTATCACCTGCATACGAATATAAACACAGTTGATTTGAAACCCAAGAGCATGCTCTATGTATGAACAATTTCTTAAAACGAGGTATATTATTGACAAACAAGTTGATGAAACAAGATTATGAGCAGTCTCGTTTAAAGTCATCATTTCGTTAGTTCTGTGGTCGATACAATGACCTTGTCAGCAAATAATATTTATCATTGAGTCAAATGCTGACTAACGTTTTTCATACGTATTGTTAGTCCGTTATTTAAACAATTATAGTTGATGGATTTTTCCGTTATACCCGATCATAAAAAGGAGCACACGGCGAGTGTGAATTTTTGGCAGGGAAAGCTCACTCCTCCCCGGCACCTGATCCCACCTCTGATGATTTGGAGGTCTGTGTTTGCTCTGCTCTTATTTTGTACTGTTTAATGGAGTATTGAGCTTGAATACTGTTCATCATCTTTATATATTCCATTTGATAAAGAGCGTACCAACTACCAAACTGGAGAGATCGTGAATCATGGGCCCACGTTTTCGTATTCATGCTGACATTTCAGACTTAATGAACTTTTTTGAAATGATGCATCTTTCTTTTTTAAATCATCCAACAGGCACACGTTTTCTAAAATATAAGAAGCTAATTATCTAACACACTTTTAATTTCATGACAGTATGGCCACGCTTGTGCGTAATTTAAAGCAAATTTTTAAATGCATCTTTTTGATTTGTACATGAATTCCGTATCGTATTTATATAGTATACGTTTTTCTTATAATGTAGTGAATGATCTTACGGAATTGTTTTATTTAAAAATCTCTTTGTGAAAATGTTTCACTCATTATTAAAAAGGAGAACGAGAAATTTGAAACGCTTTAAAGACTGAGGGTTTTCCTATGGTGGGAATGGTTTTCTTGGTTGAACTTTATTCCACCTATAGTGTTGCCAGAGGTGTATATTTTACTCTCTTCTGGAATTGTATTGCTTGTAGGATTTATTGCCCACTTATCATCACCTTTTTCAATTTTGTCACCAGATGTGTTGGCTACATATATTTTAATGTACCATTAAATTTACTTACACCAAAGTGCACCATAGCAACAATACACAAGGTCTCGGCAGAAGGCGACCCAAACCCGATATCTAGACACCAATAACTGGGAAATCTCAATTTACAATCTACGAATAGTCATGATTACCATTACAAAGCATTACTTGTGTGTATTGATATTACTCCAAGTTAAAATTGAGTAAGAAGAACCTTAAATTGCAATTTTAAACAACTTCCTCTTGTAGATATTGTTTTTATGGAAAGATCATTGACTTGATAACAAACTCCGTGTTAAGTTCGTGTCAAACATATTTCTGAGGAATTCATAACGATCTGCCAGTACTCGGGGAATAAAAACGGGGGTTGATACACAAATCTACAAACTTAAGGCAAACTGTACAGTTTTGAACTAATCAGGAAACATTGTACATATCCAGTATGTAATTGTTCCTGAATAGAATTTCTATCAGTGGAATACAGTTTTAAGATTTTATGTTAATAACAAAATATAAATGTCAAATCTGTTCAAATTTGACAAAGCAGTTAACGACATTGTCTTTGTAAGGCTCATTATATAAATTGTATTTTAGAAGAAATTGGATTTAATTTTACAAACGGTAATCCAACTTATACTCATAGTTCCCTTTCTTAGGAAGAAATTCTTCAAAATCAGATGTCTGTTTAGAATTTTTGAATATCCCAAACACACAAAATTTGAATTACCACATCTATATTGGATTCCGAAACTTTATGAAATCCCTACAAACAAAGATACATTGCGGACTCCAGTAAATGTTCAACCAAGCCTATCTTTCTTAACTCCTCATTACGATATAATTAGTAATGAAGCAGAAACTTCAAGAATGTTGTGCAACAATATATTGAAGAAGTGGTGTAAATCAGATGTAGATACTCAGAAATTCCAAGGAACTTTTGGACTATTGAAAATCACATGGTTTTACCAAAATCAACAGCTTAAAACTTATTAAAACATATTTTGTTTAAAAACAATCTGATTGACCACACAAGTACTCTGAATTAAGTGGACACCACAAAGATGCTTGAGTTTTTGATTGACAATATCTATATTTATGTGTTTCTCTGATACCAGATCTTCCAAAAATCTATTTGAATTTTCATGGGTACCAATTACGCCCCGTTTTTAGCAGACCTATTTTTGTTTTCAAGTGAAGCAGAATTTGTCCAAAATCATGTACGTGAAAAGAAGAAAACACGTGCTGTGTCCTTCATCTCGAAATTAAGATATATCGAAGAAGTATTGTCAATTTACAAGGGTTATTTCTATTCTAATGTCGATATGATATATCCCGATAAGCATGAGATATAAGATACCACAGAGTCTGACAAATTTGTTTCATTTTTGGATATCTCATTTGAAAAATACGTTAATTGTAATCTCACAGCAAGCTCTGTGATAAACGTGATGACTAACTTTACAATCGTCAACTTCCCTTACTTATGCAGCAATATACCATCATCACCTGCATACGGGTTTATATCTCTCAATTGATTTGACACGCAAAAGCTTGGTCTATACTTATGTACAATTTCTAAAACGAAATATATAATTAACAAACAAGTTGATTAAACAAGAATATCAGCAGTCTCGCTTAAAGTCATCATTTCGTAGGTTCTATGGTCAATACAATGACTGGTCGATACAAACGACATAGATATTGTCAATCAGAAACTCGGACATCTTTTTGAGTACTTTTGTGTACAATCATAATGTTTTTGAACAAAATAATTTCGCAAATGACCAGTGTCAAGGTATGTAAATTTAAATGTATTTGTATTTGAATAATTCAAAAGATATGTATTGACGCTTATTACTAAAAGTCTACTAAAGCTTATAGAGAGGATTATGTAATCTGATACCTATCTTGCAAGATATATGCATACGTTACCGATAGATTTATGAATATGTACTTAACCGATGTAAAATAAAGCAAGTATTTTTGGAAGGAATTGGACGTTTATAACGATAGAATTCTCTTGGGTTTTGTAGACTATGAGCTGTCGTAAATCGTTCATTAATAATACTGGTACCATTGCCACCTCTGTTTATTCAATAAAAATAGGAGACAAAGATCTTTATCACAAAATGAGAAGCATGAATATAGAATGTCTTCATTTAATTAAACATTGATCAATGGACAAAAACTGTCATTCAGCCAATTTTGATACGTTACGATAATTAACTAGCTATTGAACACGAAATTTTCTCTTCATTAATTTTATACACGGAGCAGTGCTTTTGTCTAAAGGTTATGTTCCTTTTACCCGTGACATTTCGTTCTTTACTATACAAGCTGATAAATTACAAACGTTGTGTTAGGTATCATGTTACGATTGAAGTTATATGTACTCTGCCGGAAGTAATCACGCAAGACGAAAGGCCTGCTAACCTATTGCTAAAAATACGTGTAAATCATCCACGTTTAAATTATTAAAAGTAATGAATAGATTGATATTTAACGATCTTGTTACGGAGTTAACTATTAGACATCCAGACAGTCCAATCTTATCTTGACAACATTTACTTTAAAAGAAAGGTTTGTGATTGATTAGATAACAAAGATTTTTTTTTATTAACGAGCTCGTAAACTCCTTGAAAAAAATAATACAAACTGTGAGCATAGCAAACAAGGCTAGCTACAAAAATAAATAGAGATGGAATTAGATGTAATTGAGAAGGGAGCTTTCCCTGTTGGCAGTTCAAACACGCCTTAGGCATAGTGTCTGTCGTCAACCCGGAAAGAAGAATCCGTCTAGTATTTTTTTTTAATTTAACAAAGACAATTCCACCATACATATAAGGCGACAACCCAATCTAATTAAAATTAGATTTTAGATCCACTGGCATACTCGCTACACTAACATCTAACAGCATCACATGGAGGGTCACGTCAGAGGTCAAATTAGGAACAGCTCTAGACTTATTCGCTTCAACAATAAACGACGATTTTGCAGGCGGCGATTTGATTCGTTGATAGAATTTGACCTCTGACGTGACCCTCAATGGGATGTGTAGCGAGTATCCAAGCGGATCTAACATCTAATTTTAATTGGATTGGGAGACAACAAGGCTTCA